CTTCAGCCTGACGTACTGTGGCCTGTCGGTGAGGTAGTCGGAGATCCAAGCCACCAGGCAGGGGTCCACCTGCATCCTGTTTAGTTTTTCCTGGAGCATACAGGGCTGGATTGTATTAAAGGCACTGGAAAAGTCAAGAAACAGGATCCTGACCGTGCCTTTTCCCCCATCCAGGTGTGAGTGGGCTCTGTGTAGGAGGTACAGGATGGCATCCTCCACACCAACATCTGCCTTGTAGGCGAACTGTAGTGGGTCCTGGGCATGTTGTACCTGTGGTCGGAGGAGGTTGAGGAAGAGCTGCTCTAGAGTCTTCATAAGATGTGACATCAGTGCCACCGGTCGGAAGTCATTCAGCTCATTGGGCCGGTTCCTTTTGGGGACCGGGACGATGCAGGATGTTGAAGACTCGTTGTAGCGGCTCCCCAAGTTCAGCAGCACACGCCTTTAGCATCCTAGGACACACCTTGTCTGGGCCTGCTGCCTTTCTGGGGCGAAGCTTCCTCAGTTGTCTCCTGACCTGATCCACTGTGACACTGGGAGATGATTGGAAGGGGGGGAGAGAGGCTGTTGTGCTGTTTAGAGAGGGGTTGGAGAAGGAGGAGGGGGGGATGTCATAGTGTCAGGGAGGGGGGGAAGCGAGGGAGGTAGGAGAGTAGGGAGAGGGCTCTGTAGTAAAGGTGAGGGTGAGGGTGGGGGGGTTGTGGGCTGGTCAAACCTGTTGAAGAAGTTGTTGAGTTCGTTTGCCTTCTCCACAGTCCCCCCACTGTGCTTTTCTTGGTGTTGTGGCCTGTGATGGTTTTCACACCATTCCAGACCTCCCTCATATTGTTCCTCTCCAACTTCTGCTCCACCTTCCTCCTGTAGGTGTCCTTTGGGGGCTGAGGGCTGAGGGCTGCAGGTAGTCCTTTTGTTTAGGTGTGAGTTGAGGGTGAGCAGATGGGAGGTGTGAGTGATGGTCTTTCAAATCTGCAGTAGACGGTGTTAAAGTTGTCAGGCAGTTTGGGATTCTCTTCAGGGTGGGGGGATGGACTCCTGTAGCTGGTGATGTGCTGCAGGCCTCTCCAAACTGATGCAGGGTCTTTGGCTCAGAAGCTGGTTTTTAGCTTCTTAAAAAATGACACAGATGGATTTGCGGCCTTGAATCTGGAGTTTGGGGTTTACATTAGTGTTATTTGTATTTTTTGTTCTTTACATTTATCTTTAAAAATAAACAAGCACTGGAGAGTGGTCAGAACATCAAATGGGACAATACTGGGTATATTGAGCTGGACTGTGTACCTATACGTGACTGGATTGGTTTGTTTTGCCTGCTGAACAAATGCTAGCCTGTCTGGCTTTTTTGGGTAGTGAGAAAAATCAAAATGCAAAGTAAGTCAGATATGTTGATGAATTTCTAATTTTGGAAGGGTGTTTGGTGACAGAACACCTCCAACATGTCCGCCCCTCTCTGAACCTTGCTCTACCCGAAGTTTCTTCCCGTTAAAGAGAGTTTTTCCTTCCCACTGTCACTAAGTGCTTGCTCACTTGGCGTCCTTTGATTGTTGGGGTTTTCTTTGTATTATTCTAGGGTCTTTACCTCACAATATAAAGTTCCTTGAGGCAACTGCTGTTGTGATAAACTGAATTAAATGACAGCCAAAATTAGACAGCAAGTATAAGTTTCTGCTTTGGATAAACAAAATGTCAGTATAATTTGAATAATGTGAGCACTGATCCAGGCAAATATACAGCAACTTCCAGTGCAAGTTTCCACCTAGCATCCTCTTCACCACAGTGACAGTGGACAGACGACACATACTCAACTACAGTGCTCACATGGAGCTAAAAGAGAATTAGATAGATCGGAGAAGTCTGCGCAACTTTTTTCCACAATTTCTAGAATCAGAATTTCAACATTGGATTGAAATATTGCATCTAGGGTGGGTAAATCTCACTTTATCTTATGGTATCAAAAGCCTTTTGTAAACTCAGAATAAGGTCAAGTATAAGCTGAGTCAAAGACTGCCCCTTCTGTTCTACTCTTAACCCCCTATCTGTTGTTAGCCTAGCAGCGTGCCTTCTGTCTGCACTCAGGGCAGGCTGTTTGGCCAGGTCTTGTTATTTATCCCTCCTTCTCAGTGCTCATGTACTAGTTAGAGTGAAGGAAGCCTTAATAGACCATATGCTGCTGGGATAAGGTGTGCCACAGGTAAGTGGCTCCTAGAACAAAGTTCAAGTGGTAAGAGGTTTTTCCAAGATGACATGCCATAAATGAAGCTGATAGTGAAGGAACCCTTCCTTTTTTACCTTTTACCAAGATGCCACAACGAGAAAGTATAATTCACAGTCTCTTTCACACCACTAAGCCAAGGCAGTGGTTTGGTAACTTGTTCTTTACTTGTGCTTTCAGGTGGCACAGGGACTATGGCCATTTGAAAGCTGTTTGAGCAGTAGTCTGTTTTAATAGTAGCTGCACTGAAGCACAAGACTAAGCCACAGTCTCATTACAGCATCAAATATGATTGATTCTGTTAAGCAGCAGAAGTAAAGAAGAGTTTTTCACACATTCTTTGTACCTTTTCGAAGTGAAGGAGTTAAAGAGTAATAGGCATTGGACTAAACCACTGCCAGGGATATGAAGGGCAGTCCGTTTTTTAAACACTTATAAGATATAAAACCCACATTTATTTCATAATCATCATCGCATTCATTTTAACAGGGAAAAATAGAAGAAGATTAAAATTAAAATTGTAGCTCTTGTTGCAAAGTGCACATAAAGAGCAACAATATGGCTAGAAAATAAAAACAGTATTTATTTACAATTTCTCATAAATAATAAAAAATCCATTTTATGCCCTATCACCAACCCAGGCCCATCACACAATTCAGAAGCATTAACAATGTCCTAGCCCTTTGCTCTAGACCTGACATATAACGCTCTTTACAGCTGCACATCAATCTTCAACATTACATCATAAAGAATTGTGTAATTGTTGTTTTTGTATGCGTTTCCGTTACGTTACAGACTCTCTTGCCGCCTGATTCACCTGCTAAAATAGACAGCACAGAGTTGGAGCTTCTTCTTCGACTTCAGCATGGGATCCTAGTACTTCCTGCACCACTGCTCTTTAAACAGGAACATCAGCTCATGCTATGTTTGCACCTCTCTGCTCCATGCCTCAGCATTAGTCATCCTCTATTACTCATGTGGCGTGTATTTGCGAACACACCGGGAGAGCACCGAAGAGCTCCTGCCTACTAAAAAATGCAGCTTAACTTGATACAAAAGTGGTCAGGGTGTGGGTGCCACAGAGGACCATTGAATTCTTTGTGTTTGTGTAGCTTCACTCTCGGCAGTTCTTTTCCTGTTCTTGGAATCATTTTAATTCTGCGGGATTTACTTGTCCCAGTTAAAGTAATCCAAACATGTGGAGTATCAGCGGTCGTTTAATTCCTCAAGCTGGCAGGTTTGAGGCTTGTCTGGTGGAATTTGTGACTCCATCTGCTGGACAAATTCTGTTACATGTGTCGGAGTTACAAAGGCCACTCTACTGCAGACTCTTTGGGGTGGCAGGAGCTGATTATTTTACACCAAGTTGAAATTTCTCCATCCATTTTCTTTCGCTTATCCGGGGCCGGGTCGCGGGGCAGCAGCCCAAGCAGAGAAGCCCAGACCTCCCTCTCCCCAGCCACCTCCTCCAGCTTGTCCAGGGGAACACCAAGGCGTTCCTAGGCCACCCGAGAGATATAATCTGCCCCGGGGCCTCCTCCCGGTGGGACACGCCCGGAAAACTTCACCCAGGAGGCATCCTTGTCAGATGCCCGAAGTTGAAATTTATTATTTATGTCCATTCCTGAATATATCTGCCAGCATGAAAGTGTAGGACATTAACTATGAAGGTTTCTATGCAACTATGAAGGCCAGGTTTCACTCGAAACCCTGGCTGATTGTGACCCACACCCGTTTTCACACCTTGGCTCATGTGATTAGGTAGAGGATCATCAGGGGGTCCTTTTGTCCCTCTTTGGGGGGAAACTCCCACTGGGTTTAAATCTGGGACTCTCCACCATTTGACCGTAGAACTGAAGAAGCTTCTCGGATGAGAGGTGAAACGTCTTCAAACAACTTAAAGAAGTCCAGACACTTTTCTTTCCAGCTCCTTAGATTAACTATGAAGTCTTACTTAGTATTTTACTTAATACTTAGTATTGCTGCACAGTTGCTTGAAAAGAATAACACAGCTAAACTTTTACTTTAACATATTTGGAGCTTTTTTTTTTGCTGATAATTTTTGCTGGCATGACGCAGATGTTACAGTACAAGTTTGCCATGTAAACAAACTGTAATGATTAATCTCCAGACACCAGGGGGCACTGCAGAGAAGCCTGACGACAGTTTCCCCAATGTCTGCAGTTTTTTTTTTTAGCAAAGTGGACATTAAATATCCTAATTAGAGAAGTGAGTTTTCTTGAATGCATTCTGGCAACAATTGGAAAATGTGTTAAAGTTAATCTATTATGGGTTTTTTTTTTAAATATATTTTCTCCTCAAATATGGCAAAAGTTTTAAATAATGGTGATCAGTGTGTGTAGATGTAATCACTGTGAGCCTAAAGCTTAGATTCAGACTGCTCTGAACACTTCCTTTTTTTGCTATGCTTGTCCACAGATGGCATAAGATAAATATACCTGGCAGATCTGAAAAGGGGAGACAGCATAGATGTATCTTAAAACTGGATTCTTTTTAACTGCCTGCATACTTCTAGTTGTAACAGCTCAATCACTAGTTTCAGATTAAAAAGGAACATAAATAGGAATAGTGACAATACGTGTGTGTGATATCGACCCCTTGCTTGTCATACCAGGTCTTCATCATACAGCAGGTGATACCATGATGGCCACATCCTTCATACCGTTTAATACAGCCAAAAATCCTTATCTACTTGACAATGTGACTGTGGTGAACAGCCCACTCCTTGGCTGCTGGAAGAACATCTCTGAATGAAAACGATGTCAATGAGTTAAAAAAAACAAAAACATTTTTATTGAGACAAAGATTAAAAAACATTGAAAAACTGATTATAAAAGAAGACAGCAAGAAAAGATCCTACATTTTAGCACACACACACACACACACACACACACACACACACAGACACACACACTCAGACATACACACCACACAAAGTGAATCAGTTCATCTCTCTTCCCACCACTTGCCCTCTCTCTCCTGAAACTGCAGGCATCCTTTTATGCAGCGTCACCAGCCAAACATGTACTCCATCGCCTTGGAAACAAAGCTGTCATCCTTCCTGGGTGTCTGTTTGTCTGCTACCACCTAAACACAGACACACATGCATTTATAGTCGAAGAAAAACAAGAGGTCAACTCTTTTAAAGTTGACCAGACTAAACCCTTGGGTAACAGTTCACCTGGTAGTCACTGCCTGAGTTCCTGTAGGTGGTGCTGAGTGGTCTGATTGCAGAGCGAGGGGTGGTAGGGAGCGCGGAGAAGGAGGAGGAGACAGGAGTAGAGACAGCCTCAGTGCTGTCCATCACGCTCTGAGAGACAGATAAACGAACTTCATTGCTACTTCAAACTCAGTTTAACTTAGTGTGGACAATTGATCACAGCTCAGAGAGAAGATCAGACAGGAGCAGGGAGCAGCAGGAACCCAACCTTGTCTATGCAGGGTTTGACTCCCACCATGATGGAGTCACCGAACACCTTTCCATCTTTGGACAGTGCTTTCCTGGCCTGAAGTCTGGACTGATACTGAAGGTGCATCCAGTTACCAGGAGACGCCATCTGTCAACACGTCATCAATACGTTAAGTTAGTTCACAGCAATACACCTCAAACTCCAGTTGCTTCTTTGAATGGGCTGCGACTAGAGCTGGGCGATATAAGATTTTTTCATATCACGATATGTTTTTTTCATTTCAGGCGATAACGATATCTATCACGATATAAGCCAAATAACTATATTTGTAAGATTTAAATGTGCCGTTGCTCACAAGTAAAATGTGAAATAATCAGCAGCTTGTTTTTATTTAAATATTTATTTCCCATAATAAGTTCAACAGGGTAGATGTACTTAAGGAACATGAGACTTTTTCAGATAAATAAAGGCAAATATTGCAAACTACACAAAAGGCAGCCGCTAAAGCGTTTAAGTTTCAAAATAGAACAAACAAACAGACTAAATGTCAATTCCACTTAGAAACAAAATATTAATTCTAAAAATAAATCTTAGTTTGTTTTACAGAAGAACAGACAAAACTGACTAACTTTTGTCAATATCAAATAAACTGAGAACTAAAAGGAAATTCTCAATCTCTCCTTGTTGTATAGCTAGCTTTTCAAACAGTTTTAACAGTTACTTTAGTCTGACAAAAGCCGAATGACGAATTAGCGCTTCCAGTCAGAGACTGAGGCTACGTCCACACGTACACGGGTATTTTTGAAAACGGAGATTTTCCGTTTTCGTTTTAAAAAATAATCCCGTCCACACATAAAGGCAGAAATGAAGGAAAACGCTGCTATGAACATGCCAAAGCAGCAGGTGGCGCTAGATTCCTAACCGTGCGAAATGTTGGCCAATCAGAAGTCTAGAAGCCTCGGTGGGAAAAAGTAAACAAAGCTGGGGCATAGAAGCAGAACCGAGTCGTATGTGTGGAGGGACAGTAACTGTGTGTATATGTAAGCATTTAAACACTGCAGAGAGTAGAATTAACAGTAACAGTATTGTAGAAATTCATTTCACCGAAACAATAACGTGGCGCACAGTGTGACGTCAAAAAATGCGCACACCTTTGATCGCTGCGTTTTCTCCGTTTTTCTAGTCCACACGTAAATGCAAAAACGGAGTTTTCAAAAATATCCACCCTGGCCGGAGTTTTAAAAATCTTCGTTTTCAGTGACCAAAAACGCCGTTTACGTGCGGACGAAAGGTGCAAACACATAAAAAAGATCTGCGTTTTCAACAATACCCGGGTACGTGTGGACGTAGCGCATGCACCAGTTTATTGTATTTCCAGACTTGCTTTCGGCACAATTTACAGTGCACGCTACTCTGTTTTTTGTCAGACTTGAAATAGCCGAAATACCTTCACACTACGGAACTTCTGTGGCTCTTCTGTTCAACAATCTCTTCGGCGTTGGAACCATCATCTGTTTTCTCTTCGGTCACGCTCGGTTGATTTTTCTAGTCGGCGCATTCATTTCCTCCATTACGCGCTGGCTGCTTCCCAAACAAACACACGTGCGGCTTGGCACTTGTGCTGTACGTAACAAGTCACGCGACGTGACGCTGCGGCTGTGATTGGTTCGGCTCTGCGCTACTTAATTTGGATTGGCTGTTCTTTTTTATTTATTTTTTTTATTTTTTTAAGAGGACAAGAGCGGTAGCTTAATTTTTCTATCGAGAAAAAGTTATATCGCGATACATATCGTTATCGTTCTATCGCCCAGCTCTAGCTGCGACTCTTCTGGGCTCTAAATCACAAACACCATCCAACACTGACTCAGGGCTCCAACAGCCTGTCTGTGCTCTGATTTCAAGGTGTTCAAATACACTGACTGTCCGCTCTAGACCACAAACAGCATAACAGACAGATGCAGCTTCCAGGTCTGAAAAGTGAAGCCAACAATGAAGCAGTTTTAAACAGTATGTGGTTTCACAGTCAGACTCACTCATTGCACCTGATTTCCAAATACCAATACTGTGATTGCAAACAGGTGCAATCATTTCACAGATGATTTGTAAGCCGTGTGGATCAACTCTCACCGGTAACAAACAACTTTTACACTTTGGTCACTGACTCAACTTTGAAAGATCTCAACAACCGAAAGATCTGAACCATCAGAAACTTTCTGCTACAATGTCAGACTTCACTTAGTCTGTTGGTGCTTGTTCAGAACCAATACTGGTAAAGTGATTCGGAAGCGATGCAAAACCAGCAGTCATAAAATGTTTTTGATAGACATTTCAGCCGTCTGCAGGGAAATGGCAGCCATCAGGGCCTGTGGTGGCTAAGAGGTCAAGAAAAACCACAGTGACTTAAAAAGATTCAGGCATGACCTTCAACGATGCTCAGTAGGAAACCTTTCCTGCATCCTCAGCATGAATTTGAATGCCTAACGTTTAGAAATAAACATCCAGGGGCGTGCTGCATTTTGGAAACATGTCCTGTGGACTGACGTCATTGAAACAGATGTTTTTAGCTCAACAAGTGTTGGTTGGTAGTTGGGGCCTGTGCTGCAGTCACTGGCACTGAAAATACAGTTAGGTCCACAAGATGTGACCATGCATTTTGGTCCCATCTCGACTGTTTGATTTAAAGTCCTCTGTGACTGTATTCAGATGCAAAACGATAAAAAAGTGTCACCGTCCATATACTTATGGACTTAACTGTATTTCACTGCTAGCAGGTATAATGGATTCAGTTAAACACCAGAAATGTCAGGAAGCAAACATGCTATTCTGCTCTCTCTCTTATGTACTGTGCCCTGCAGTCATGTAGCCTGCTGCTCTGCAGCTAGTGATGGTGACCTTGTTCTGCTCTGGAGGTCTGCTGCGATCCGGAGGGACAGGCAGGTCATTCTTGAGCCACTACAGCAATTTCATCCATGGGACGATGGACTGACCGGAGAAGTAGCTGATTATATTACGTAACAGAGTTTTTGTTCCTATGTATTGGGTGGATTTCTTAGGTGTATTTTATCACAATTCTTTTCCAGGAGGACTGGGATAAAATCCCATGAAGAGTTCCCATTCTTGATTTTCACTACATCTTTAACTCTGTTTTAGTATTTGTTTTTACTACTGGAACACAGCTCATCTTTACTTGTTTGCATATTAACGGTATATAGTTAATATGCAAACACTATATGATATAGTGCCCGTTTGATCAGACACAAATATCCTGCAGTCTGATAATGATGTGCGAGTGTCTCACCGTGTGTTTGAGGATGTTTCCGTATTGAGCGAACTGGAGCAGGATGTAGGAAGCCGAGGCTGGAGGGAAGCTAAAACACACAGACATACCCTTAATGTACACAGAGTGCATTTAAACTGTAGTGTGATGAAGTGTGAGCATAAATACCCAAACACTGTGACCCAGGTCTGGTCCAGCTGGTCGTCAGATGACAAAGACTCTCCCTGAGTGTAGAAGGGGTCCACCTGAGCTGGTGACAGACACATCTGCTGCATGCCTGTCGGGACAGATATGTTACCCAGTTAATCCCCATAAACCCCACTGTGAGCAAAATAATAAACCTTTTCAGTGCCAACACAAACAAAGCTTTGTGCACTGATGTGTCAGTATCTGCAGCTGCAAGTGTTATCAGGTTTTACAGCAACAAACAATGAAAGAATGCAGGTAAGCTACTAGCTACCAATTCTCCTAATGGTTCAGTGACAGTAGAATGAAAGTAGGATGGAAACCTTGTAAACTAGAAGATAGAGAGGAAAAATACTAAACGTGGCTGTCTAGCGAGTTAAAAATCACGTTCTAGTTATATTCCCACATAAAAGAAAAGTTGCAAAGTGTCTGTTTTGCAGTCTTATCACCATCCAGCAGCCACGTCACTATTTGTCTTGTCTATTAACACAGAAAAAATGATCACAGACAGACTTCATCCGTTTTGCCATCTTGATGCAACAAAGTTGCTTTGAAGCCAGCAACTGACTGCGAAACATCCCAGCCCTGCCACCCGTCTTTGAAGCAACCAGCCTAAAGAAAACATGGCCTCATATTTGTTGCACACTGTCGCAATAATTATGGTTGTGCCACAGTCCCATACCACCATTTCCCCTTAGTGTCACTGTGATCAAAATGCAATCTAAATCTAGGCTAGTCAAAAAGTAAGAAAAGAGTAACATTTTCTAATTAGTGCTACGACCAACACTCTGCTTCCCTTTATAAAACCGAATATGCTTTTGCAATACCACTGACCATCAACTGTCTAGATAAAAGTACCACCAGGAATTCCACTTCTCCCATTTACAACATCCACTAAGGGCATAAGCATGATGAGTGAGAGGATTTTGGGCAGCTCTGGATATAGATCTGTCACTCCATAACTGAGCAGTGAACCAGTGCTACAAGTGACAGTAATAATTAGTCTAACCAACTTCATATTTCTGCTCCCGTCAAAGTTTGATTGTTGACTTAGCCGGCTAATCCCTCACTTCACTAGCTACAATGACTTCTGTCACCAGCTGCTCTTTTTATTTATTTACATTTTTTTAAAGTACTCTCAAGAAGCCATTGTTTTTAAATGTTTCTACAAAAAAAATTATCCTTGATGACTTCTAGCCATTGTGACGCATAACACGGGCATTACTGTTAGAAGTTGTTGTAAAGTCACTACGAACAGAGTAGTCAGCAGTGTCAGTGTGTACCTGTTCCTGGAGTGGAGGCCTGACGTGCTGACAGAGGAGACTGCATGACTGGGAACGACTGTAGAGAGTTAATCAGACAGAGGAACATGTTTTTAAAAAGCCTTTTTCACATGTCACCGTGAACTTTCATCAAACACAAGCACTAGCCAGTCATCTGGCCTGTAATGAGCCTTGTCACGCTGGGTTTTTTTTGGTTTGCCTACTTTATGTTTACTTTCATCATGCACATGATCACCTGCTCAGGAATCAAGTGTGTGCCATTCAACCACCTGTATCTATTCCTGAACATCTGTGAACATATGAAAATTATATTGACCATGCATGATGATGTACAGAAATTAAGTCACCATGAAATGCTATAAGGCCTCCATGTTTCACCACCTTACTGAGGGTAGAGGCGTTGCTGTTTGTGAAAGATCCCAGGAGTTATGCCGTTCTGTCCCAAACTAGTCCTGGGTTAGGTGCTTAACTAAATGTGATTCAAAAGACACCTCTGTGAAGAAGAATGGCACTTGTGTCACTGGACACAAGGTGACTGTGTCTGACCTGGGGTCGGGGTTCATTGGGGAGCGTCTGATGGCAGAGCCTTCACCCATTTGCATTTCTTAATTCAGTCTCCCTCTCCAACCCCCCCTGCTATCCCTGCTATTGTCTTGGTTACAAAACCAGGAGGTGGCAGCTTTCATGTGAAAATAGGCGGTTTAACTCACTTTACCGTGCATGCTTACCCACCTGTCTGTGTGCAGCAAGAGGTGTCGCTACAGTAACCAGGTCGTCATGGATACTGCGAACAGGTGGGGCTCCACTCTTGTCTTTGGGTGTGGGGACAACAGGCTGCATGGCAGAACCTCCACCACCACCTCCTCCTCCTCCTCCATTTAAAATAAGTTAAGTATGAATATGAGTCACTAATTAATCTAAATAATCTAAAATATAAGCTTTAGACAACAATCAGGTATGTCTCTTCTTCCACTCACCTCGAAGTGTGCTTGTGCTATCCGCAAGTGGTGAGGCCAGGCTAAAAGAGCGAGGCTGTGGGCTTGCTGGAGCTGGCAGGTCACCCATCAGGAAACCGGGCAGAAACTGAGCCCCAGAGGTTGGCTTAGGAGAGGTAGGAGAGCCCAAGGTCATCGGCTCTGAACCCACTGAGAGACAGGGATAAGTTAATGACAGACGGTCCAAAACAGCCATTAATAGAAATACAACTTTAGAGCTTAGATGCTAGTATATTATTATGAAGCTTCTGACAGCATGTCTTCACTCTAACAAGTGGGAACAAATGCCCCAAATCTAGGTGTTTATTATCAATGTTAAATCTGGAGATGAACGCAAATTGGTGTATATTTATTTGAATAATGCTTTGTGTAGAGGAATCTTAGTTACTGAAAAAACGAATGTTCTCATGGTGTGAACTTTATTGTGAGCCATGAGCATATTTTTTTTTAAACTTATTCTCTTGTCTTAGGACATCCGCAATTTATAAAAATCTTAACTAATGATTAAAGTATTCATCTATCTATCTATATAAAGAAATACTAAAATACAGCCACTTGTGGTCGACACACGGGCTTTTTTGTAGTGCTTTACCTTCTACCTTCTTCTAAAGCAAGAAAATTAGCACCGCTGCCCCAACACAGAGTTGACAGATGACATATGACATGCTTGCCTAATAAAGCCATAAATGCCGAATAGCTAATACCATCAATCAGAACGCAACGGATTAACATTTCTAAAAGTTTTCCTTACCTTGTAACTCCATCTCTGTTTCTTTCCTTTCTGGCCGCGATTTTCAAAAGTAGGAAGTGACGCTCGGAAAAAAGGATGGCAGCCGGCTAACGCGGCTAACAAAGCTAAATGATGTGTCACAATATCTCACTGTTACTGCACCGTAAACGCGACTAGGAGTCAGTGTTGTTTTTAAGGACCTAAACTGTTACAGCTGACCGATTTAAAATCTACTCTTTCAGTCCGCCACGGGGTGTTTCTGGAGTTCAGAGGCACTGGGAAAAGGCTGACGCTAAACTGGAAGTACTACAGCTTACTTCCGGCGAATTTAGAAAGCGTCAATGTGATGACGCGTTCAATGGCCCTGCGTAACGTCGTTCATTTGTATTTTTCTAATGAATGAAATGAACGTACAAAGAAAAGAAAATATCTGAGGGCTTTTATTTTCTTACACTTAATTTTTTTTATCAACACGCATACAAGGGATCTGTTTTTAATGATTCTTCAATCTGTTTATTTTTGGCTTAACTGAAAACATTTAAGGGACTCAATAAAATCTATATACTATAGACTGTACTACACTTTTTTCTTTTGCTTCATGCTGTAAGTGCTCCAGTTGTAATTCCTATTTTAGATGTTTCACATTCTGGGTAAAATCTGACCCAGTCACATTAAACGAGGGAAAACCTGGCAACCAAGCTCTGTGGAAAAAGGGTGTTTCTGTACATAGTCACAGGAGAAAACTCTTGACCACTACAGACTTTATTCCTGTGATACAATCTGCTATTTGACGGGGAATCAGTGTTGAATGATAAACAAACAAAGATGATCCAGTGTGGCCAGTTCTTAAGGGAACTGCTTTAAAAAATAAGATTTTTGTAGCATTATTAACCCCTTGGTTTGGCCAAACGAGGATTTTTAATGAAATCACTACAACCTAAGTACCTGAAAAGTCTAACGTAAATGAACTTTTTAATAGCTTCATTTAAACATCAGCATTTTAGCATCACATTAATAACCTCTTCGGGACATGTACTGACTGATGGAGTAATTGCATCCACAAAAAATCCATGAAAAGAAAAGCACTAGTAGAAAGAACAAACAAAACAATCCTTACAGGTCGTTTACATATAGTGTAATAAACACAAGGAATGCTAGAAAACAAATATGTTGTGAAATATTAGAAGGTTGGATTGCTGATCAATTAACCAAAAGTTCAAGAATAACTAAAATGCATTGATCTAGTAACTAAATCAACGTTTTTTTAATTGAAGTTATATTTCCCCCATTTGATTACTTTATTTTTATTATGCATAAGAAATTTTTATCTCATAATTCTTTTCCGGACACTGAAATTTCATGGAAAAGTTTTGGAAGCATTGAGATCGCACATCCACCGACGAACGAACACACCATTTGCGTGAACGTCATCAACATGTGGCAAATACTGTTAAATATTTGTCACTTATTCTACAGACAACCAAGACGTATCCGGTAGCTAGAGTTCTGTTATCAAAATAAAATTATAACGCAAGCTGGTGGGTGGAACAGGCCATCATAAACAGAATAACACAATGAAATTAGATTAACGAGTGGCTTTCTGAACATACATATAGTTTTAGTTTTGTCTGTGTGTACCGTTTAGCTGCACGACCTTTATTGTGAAGCACAGTAAGCGGAAGCAGCTTGGGCTGTTGTGTGCAACTTGATGCCGGGTCCGAGCCGGACGCTGATGCGGATCTTCATCTCCAGACTTTTGGAAGTTGGGAATCTTTAAAGGTAACAAAGTCGACGCATTAAAAATTAATATTGAAATGTCTGCTAAATATTACATGAATATTGGCTTTTGCTTCACCAATAAGACAGCAAACAGCTCCGTGTCGCAGTGAAGCTAACGAGCTAGTTAGCTGAGCAAGTTGTAACAGGAATAACCACAGGCGTGTTAACAATGCATGTACATTGATGTATCGCCTTTTTGGCTTCATCTACTGTATCAAGAAAAATATTTTTCACTAGGCTTGTTTTTCAGAATCTTCTGGAATTTTGATTAAAATATCTGAGTGCTATTATTGCTATTTATTTCTCCCTTAATCTCGTAAACAGTTCCCAAATCTACATGGATGCTCTGTTTCTGCTCAAGAATAGAGAAATAGAGGCTTTTACTTTGAAAGCTACCGTTTATCAAATGTAATTACCATTTAATTAAAAGGCAGCTTCGTGGAAGCAGATGCAGCTTTCATTTAAATTTGTGTTTTTTGTTTGTGTAAGATGTAAAATTAAATATGTTGTAGTATGTTCATTTTTCTCGAGGAAAACTGTTGTACAATAAAACTCGCGATCCTCCTGGAGTGACCCTGAAAACAGGGAAGAAATCTGCGGATATCAAACTGTTTGAATAGTTCAAGGTGCAGGAAACTGCAATGCAAAAGACAACGGTGTAAAAAAATGCTCCTCTTTCTTTTATCTGCAGACCACTTGTCCTTCCAAAGCCTGAGGCCATATAAAAGTAGAGATAATGCTTCCATCCTTTAAGCCAATCCAAACAGGCCACATATGTAAACGACACTCCTAAGGTGACATGCTGGCTCTCCTGTAGTGACTGTATTTGTTTGTTTGTTTTCTTGCTGTGGAAAGAAGCTGTTTGCCTCACTTACTGTGATATTAGTGAGGCAAGGGATGGTAATGGCTACAGGGTTGGGTGGACAGGGTATTTAGAACTGATCTTTGTGTCTTTCTGCCCCAGTTCCTTTAGTTGCGGCTGCTTGTTGACTCATTGAAGGAACATTCCCGATGGCGCACAGGGTTGCCTTAAGGGCCCAACACCCTCGGTCCATCTGGCTTATGGTGCTGCCGATTCTCCTCACCGTCCTTTTGGTGGCAGTTTGGGCAGAGGGCCAGGACTACTATGAATTGCTGGGAGTCAGCAGGGAAGCGACGACCAAAGAGATACGACGGGCCTTTAAGCAGCTGGCGCTCACCATGCACCCTGACAAAAACCCTGTGAGTTACACGGACAAACCACAATCCAGAAACACAAAAAAATGACACAGTAATTCTCTGAAATCTGTCGCGTCTCTATGAAACCCTGAAAAAACTGATGCTTATTGACTATTTCAGGGTGACCCCTCAGCCCACGAGAAGTTCCTGCAGGTCAATCGTGCCTATGAAGTTCTGAAGGATGAAGACCTGAGAAAGAAATATGATAAATATGGAGAAAAAGGGCTGGACGAGCAGCAGGGCGGACGCTATGAGAGCTGGAACTACTACAGATATGACTTTGGTAAGTAACCAATGGGATGTTACAACACTTGAATGTTTTTACAATTGTTTGTATAGAAATCGTTTTATGAGGATATTGTAAAAAGAAAAGAATAGCTAGCTCTGCTGTGAACAAAGAGTTGTTCAGTATTTAAGTTCGTCTTTCTGTCCAGGTATATATGACGATGATTTGGAGATCATCACGCTGGACAGTGGAGACTTTGGTAAGATATAAAACATATTCTGTTTTTGCTTTAGTGTACAAATGAGAAAAACCTTCATCCTTTTTCGATTGTTTGATGTTTTCCTTTCAGAAAAAGCCAACACGTAAGAACTATGTAAATTTAAAGATTTCTCAAATTTATTTTGATTGGCTTTTGAAATCTTGTTGTTCTTGTTTAATGACAGACATCATACATTGCATAATTAACTTCAGAGGTGTCAAACACATTTTAGTTCATTGTCATACAGAGCCTGAGCTAATCTTAATTGTGCTGGAACAGAAAAACAGTGCAATGGCCCCAAACAACCAATCAACCCACCAAACAAACAAACTGTTTGTTTGTTCTTGTATAAAAACATTTTAGCACATTCTCAAATGTTCACATTTAGTTATCCACAATGAGCAGTCTGAGAGGACTGAAGAAAAATTATTTTGTCTGAAAGACAAAACACAGTACAAAGTCCAAAATCTAATCTGTAGTTCTCGCCCCTCGGTCTTATGTTTGACATCCCAGACGCACATTTATACACTTGTAATTACAATGTGTGGTTCCACACATTGTAATTACAATGTGTGGTTCCACACATTGTAATTGTAATAGTCCTACCCACTGTCACATAGACATCAGGTTCCATTCTTTCATGACGGATGTCTTTGTCTTCTTCTGATTTCAAACTCTCTGCTCATGAGTGAAGAGGCTCTCAGTTGTTTGTCTCGCATGCTGGATTGGTTCTAAAATGTTTTTTATTCTGAACTTATTTCATATCTTGTCATCAGACACAAAGAGCCTAATCTGGAAGTAAACCTGTCAGCAGCAAATCAAAGTGAAAACACAAAGGGAATGTTTAATGGTTTTCTTGTTTGATTTTAGTTTTGGGTGAGCTGCAGGGTACAATTCAAACTTTGAAGTTTGGGAATGGCTGGTCCAACTCCAGAGTAACTGCTATTTGCTGTCTGTTTTTTTTTTGTGTGTATATATGTGCCGTAAACCTTTTTTCCTGTAAGTCTTCAGACCTTAGCATAAAGCAGAACAGCTGTGCAGCTTTCTCCAAACTGTAGTTTTACCCCACTCTTATCAGTGGGAGCAACAGTAAAAGGATTTCAAAGGCACCACGACACAAACACCGTGTGAGAAACAAGAGCGTAAACAGGTAGTGACTGACGTGCCTGTGTGTCTGCTTCAGAAGCAGCAGTGAACTCTGGAGAAATCTGGTTCATCAACTTCTATTTCCCACGATGCTCCCACTGTCACCAGCTGGCTCCGACGGTAACACTACACAAGAAACACACTAAACACACATCCTCAGTCTTGCACCCTTTTATGATTTTGTTTTCTTCTGTGATATATATGCATCTGTTAGAAAAACATTCCTGGTTTTGTTAGTTTCTTGCTCAAGTTGTAACTTGATAATAATCACATAGACAGAGTTAGACTCTGTGTCAGACAGAGTGAGTTACTAAAATATGTACGTGTCTGTTTGCTTTGACCTTTGCATGTCACAGTGGAGGGATTTTGCCAAGGAGATGGATGGTGTGATCAGGATTGGAGCGGTGAACTGTGGAGACAACAATCATCTCTGCAGGAGGAAGGGCATCAACAGCTACCCCAGTCTGTACATATACAGATCAGGACAGGTGTGTTTGCTGCTTTTTGTAGCAAAAATGGATATAGCTCAACTTTGAAAAATGAATGTAGTACATGCACATACTGAGTTAGCTCAAGCACCTGAACACTACAAACCTGAGCAGGCACCAAGTAAAAGTTTCAATCTAACGTCGATAAATGAGTTTAACAGACTCATCAAAGTAATGACAAAAGCTTGAAACCAGTTGTATACAGTTACCAGTGTTAGTCCATAATTGAACTTTTCCTATGATAGGCAAACAGCTTATTTATCCTTTGCCTCCTTTGTTTGTTTACACTAAACAAAAAGTGCATGTTAAGGAAAATCAGTGAGTACGTTCTCATTCAAGGGTACATTTACTTCAACTACTGATGCTGTTGGAGAACCGTGTATAGCTTTGATTGCACTCTGTTGTGGATGCGGAGACAGACAGATGGAGACCCGACAGCCGAGTGGTTATTTCTGTTAAACCTCTTTGATGTTTGCTGCTTGAGGCACATGTTTAGTTGGTGCATTGTAATGTCACTTTTCCGCTGATGAGTTTGTGCATTCACACATTCACAAAGTAAAACCCAGACATAAAAGTTTGCGCTCACTGTTTGAAAGCTTTATTTAACATGTTCCATGTTTTGTTTCTTATAATTTCTTATCAATTCTTTGCATTTCTGTAGAGACCAGAGAAATTCAATGGGGAGCGCAATAGAGACAACCTGGTTCGCTTCTCCATGCAGTTCATCACCACAACCATCACTCAGCTCTGGCAAGGTGAACTACAACCCGCGACCACACTGAGATGAGCTAACTTTGTGTTAGCGAGCAGTCTGGCTAAACTTTCACTGAAATACAGTCTGTGGAGAGTTTTTCTGTTGTTCGAGTTTATTCCTCATCCTATTCTTACCGCTAATGTTTTTTTCCCAGGTAACGTGTTCAGCGAGATAGAGAGCGCGTTCTCGTCAGGGCTTGGCTGGCTGATCACCTTCTGCTCTGACAGTGGAGGTAACACATGTGCACAGTCAGCTTTTTTTTTTGCATGCTAACACACACATACACACACATACAAGACTCTTTATGAAAAGACAGGCAGATGTGTCACAAATCAGTCTACATAACCACGCGCTTTGATACGTGGACACACAGAGTGTACTGGTGTTATCAAGCTTGTTGTTTAAAATAAATGGTGTTTGTCTCTTTTTCAGATTGCCTGGAGCCAAGAACGAGACAGAAGCTGGCAGGAATGTTGGTGAGACAACAGCAGTAATGTTTTTACAGCTGTTTATCACAGAGACATGCTGTGTCTGCTGAATAAATGAATTCACTTTAAAGATTTCAGCCAGTAGAGCATTTTATAAAGCCATGCAGGGAGGGGCATGCAGCTTTGGTTTTCAGATTCCCAGACCCATGACTCTTACACCTGAAATACCCACTCAGAGAAATGCTTAAATCCCACCAGACACACTGCAGTGTGATTCAGAAGAATCCCTGAATCTGCTTTGTGCGCCACATCACATGGAAGTTGCTTCAAGCTGCACGGAGCAGATAAGGAGGACAGTAAATCAGGCACAGAGAGAATCTAGTCAAATTATAAGGCCCGGTGCAGACCACATGCTCTGCTTCTAACGATCATTTAGATTTTATGTCATTTGAAGCTGTGTGAAGAACAGAACAAAACTGCTTTAGAGATGTGATATCACAGACACACAGCAGGTGTGTTTTATGGGATTGGTTAAATTGGCCCTGGATGGATTTAGAAATTTTCAAACACTTGAAGAGGTCATTTTTTTTCTCTAAAGTACTTGAGAAGAGAGAAAAGTCAGAGAGAGAGATTTTGAAGTGACAAGGAGCAGGGGCATCTTACTACATGTAAAACGGCTGCAAAAAAAAAGATGTACAGGCAGAGCACAACGGTCAGCACAGCACAAAATTTGGGTCCTTCGCTCTAGTTAGCGGTCAGCGCAGCGCATGTCGCGTCCTATGTGAAAGGGCCTTGAGGATATATGTCACTAATAATGTTAACACTGTCCTACATGAAAGACAAAGACAAAAAAAAAGGCTTAAATGCTAAATTCTACTTATGTGAATGTGTCACCAAAGAGACCGTGTGTGTAACCACAGTGTTGCTGTGTGGGTCTTTATATTTTTCAAATGATAAGCTTTATTTGGGGCCGATGAATGACAGGCAAATGTTTTCTCTGAGGGCTTGTGTGTCATCTTCATGCATTTGTCCTCTAACCTGTTGAAGTGAGGACGTACTTTGGATTTCCAGCTTGTCATTCCAATCTAATAGCTGCGAGGAACAGCCTTGTAAACGATGTCTGTGTGTGACCGACAGACCTATCACAGTTAGTGTCGTCTAGGCAATTTGATTGAATCCTATAAAGGTAGCTCACTATCCTCAAGTTATGTTTCATTTGTAACGTACATTGTGTAATGTTAACTTTTATTTGTAGTTCTATCATGACAAGTTTATTAGTAGCTGTGATGCTGATGTATGTGTTGTAATAAATACTACAGCGCCTGTTTGATCTCTTTATAACTGCTAAGTGTTTGTGTCTGAATGTAGGATGGTCTGGTTAAGGTGGGATGGATGGACTGCACAGCAGATGAACAGATCTGTGCAAGTTTCCAGGTAAGGGTCAGAAGTACTATAGTAATGGTACTTACATGAGATATCTGTGTAGTTGGGTTTATATACAATGTAAGTGGGAGTATCATCTGCAAAGATGGGGGTAAATGGTTTCTACATAGTGCTTTTCTGCTTTACCTCAGCACCCAAAGCACTTTATACAGCATGCCTCGTTCACCCATTCATGCATGCTTTTATCACACATTCACACTCCAATGAGACAACAACGTGGTGTTCAGTATTTTACCCAAGAATAGTTTGACATGCAGACTGGAGCAACTAGGGAACAAACCAAACCTTCCAATTAGTAAATTAGTAGATGACCTGCAATACCCCCCGAGCTACAGCCAGGAGGGAGGATGATATTTTGTCAACACATAGTGCTCTGCTTAGAACTGACTTTAGACTGATTTAGTTATTTCCAGCAGTATTGCCTGCTTGGCTAACCTTTCTGTTGTGTTTCAGGTGACCAGTGGAGCAACTGCTTTATTCCCACCTGGAAGTGCTTTGAATAAACCAGACAGTGTACTTGTAAGACGAAGAACACACTACTGTCTGTGCTAATACTGTGTATAGTACTGGAATACTGACTCTATGTGTATGTGTTTCAGTGGCTGAATACTCTGGACAGTAAAGAAATTTATAATCAGGTCATCAACCATCTACCTGATTTGGAACTTCTCACCAGCGACAGTTTCCAGGTATTCTGACTCCAGATGCATAGTCCACCTGTGCATAATACAATTACTTGTATTGTATTACAGCGCAATTCAATAAAATACAGAAGCACAATGTAAAATTGTTCTGATGCAGTGTAACTTGTTTCGTCCAGAGTAAATTGGCCCATCATCGCTGGTTAATCAGTTTTACATTTGGTAACAAAAACTCTGCCTCCAACGAGTACAAGAAGCTACAAGCTTTACTCCGAAATGACCACATACAGGTATCTGTCTATCTGACTGTCTGTGCGTGTCTCTGCATGTATCTGCCTGCCTGTCTGACTGACTGTTTGTCCTTCCAGGTTGGCAGAGTGGACTGTATAGCGGACTCAGAGCTGTGTCAGTCTCTTTACATTCATAAACCCTGTATGGCTGTCTTTAAAGGACTGGGAATCCACGACTTTGAGATCCACCATGGTCAGTACTACATTTGCATTGTACTTCTGCTGTATTCCCATGTTGCTCTCCACTTACATTTTATTTGTTTAAATTAGTTTGAATATCTCTGCATGTTTGAGGAGGACATGTACGTCTTGTCCAACTAGCAGTTTGTTACAAGGTTACAAGGATAGAGGAGTTCCAAAAAAGGGCTCATGTTATTATTTGAGGAGCCAGTTTGCTAAGGTTGGTTGAACAATGGCTTATTAAGTTAATCCGTTCAGAGAAGGTTTGCTCATCTGCATTAACTTGTGTGTTTTGTGTAGGCAAAGATGTGTTGTACAATATTGTGGGTTTTGCGAGGGACAGCGTTCGAGCTTTTGTCACCACTCTGGGGCCGGACAACTTTCCTTCAGACAGAAAGGAGCCGTGGCTCGTCGACTTCTTCGCTCCGGTTTGTATTTGACTACTTTAATCACAATTATGATGTTGTGCTTTATCTTTTGGTGGCAGATTTTCAACTGAGTGGTTATTTTAGTGGTTAAAATGATTTATTAAGCTGTGACCTCAAAAGTGAACAACAACCTCTTCCTTTATTTATTTATTTACATTTGATTCACTACAAAAGAGTTTGTAGTTGTTGCATCTAAATCTTTTAGTTTTAGTTGATTAAATATTACGAGATTATAGTAGACTAAACCTAAAGTTGCTTCAGTGACTAAAATACAAAGTGTAAACCACTTTGGAACAACCAGTAAATAAATTGTAAAATATATCCATACTGTTCTCTTTCTTCTAAGCGTTGATATTTATGTTACAGTGGGGCAAAAAAGTATTTAGTCAGCCACCGATTGTGCAAGTTCCCCCACTTAAAATGATGACAGAGGTCAGTAATTTGCACCAGAGGTACACTTCAACTGTGAGAGACAGAATGTGAAAAAAAAATCCATGAATTCACATGGTAGGATTTGTAAAGAATTTATTCGTAAATCAGGGTGGAAAATAAGTATTTGGTCACCTCAAACAAGGAAAATCTCTGGCTCTCACAGACCTGTAACGTCTTCTGTAAGAAGCTTTTCTGTCCCCCACTCGTTACCTGTATGAATGGCACCTGTTTGAACTCATCATCTGTATAAAAGACACCTGTCCACAGCCTCAAACAGTCAGACTCCAAACTCCGCCATGGCCAAGACCAAAGAGCTTTCGAAGGACACCAGGAAAAGTATTGTAGACCTGCACCAGACTGGGAAGAGTGAATCTACAATAGGCAAGCAGCTTGGTGTGAAAAAATCAACTGTGGGAGCAATCATCAGAAAATGGAAGACATACAAGACCACTGATAATCTCCCTCGATCTGGGGCTCCACGCAAGATCTCATCCCGTGGGGTCAAAATGATCATGAGAACGGTGAGCAAAGATCCCAGAACCACACGGGGGGACCTGGTGAATGACCTGCAGAGAGCTGGGACCAAAGTAACAAAGGTCACCATCAGTAACACACTACAACGGCAGGGAATCAAATCCCGCAGTGCCAGACGTGTTCCGCTGCTGAAGCCAGTGCATGTCCAGGCCCGTCTGAAGTTTGCCAGAGAGCACATGGATGATACAGCAGAGGATTGGGAGAATGTCATGTGGTCAGATGAAACCAAAGTAGAACTTTTTGGTATAAACTCAACTCGTCGTGTTTGGAGGAAGAAGAATACTGAGTTGCATCCCAAGAACACCATACCTACTGTGAAGCATGGGGGTGGAAACATCATGCTATGGGGCTGTTTTTCTGCCAAGGGGACAGGACGACTGATCCGTGTTAAGGACAGAATGAATGGGGCCATGTATCGTGAGATTTTGAGCCAAAACCTCCTTCCATCAGTGAGAACTTTGAAGATGAAACGAGGCTGGGTCTTCCAACATGACAATGATCCAAAACACACCACCCGGGCAACAAAGGAGTGGCTCCGTAAGAAGCATTTGAAAGTCCTGGAGTGGCCTAGCCAGTCTCCAGACCTCAACCCCATAGAAAATCTGTGGCGGGAGTTGAAAGTCCGTGTTGCTCGGCGACAGCCCCAAAACATCACTGCTCTCGAGAAGATCTGCATGGAGGAATGGGCCAAAATACCAGCTACTGTGTGTGCAAACCTGGTAAAGACCTATAGTAAACGTTTGACCTCTGTTATTGCCAACAAAGGTTATGTTACAAAGTATTGAGTTGTATTTTTGTTATTGACCAAATACTTATTTTCCACCCTGATTTACGAATAAATTCTTTACAAATCCTACCATGTGGATTCATGGATTTTTTTTCACATTCTGTCTCTCACAGTTGAAGTGTACCTCTGGTGCAAATTACTGACCTCTGTCATCATTTTAGGTGGGGGAACTTGCACAATCGGTGGCTGACTAAATACTTTTTTGCCCCACTGTATATGTTATATGCTCCCTGTTTTCATGAGAAACAGGGAGCATTTGGCTGAATGCGATTGAGAAGTTACACACAGCTGTGATAATGTGAGAATTGACTGTAAAACATTGATAAAAGCCAATCGATGAGGCAAGTTACTCTTATCAGTCCAGATTGACTCACGTTGATTGCATTGTCTTTTAGACGGAGTTATTTGCAAAGCTTTGGAAATCTGTCACAACACAAAATCAGGATCAAGAGTCTGAAAGTGAAAAAAAATAAATTTGAAGCCCAAAAAAAGAAATTAATGAAAACAAGTAATTTATTTAAAGTAAAATAATTATTAAAGAAAAAAATTGTATTTTTTTATTTTTTAAATATAAAAAATATCAGAATTTCACTTTGAAATAGCTTTTGACCCTGATGTAGCTTCACGTGACTGCATCCAGTCTGAGCTGGACTGGGATCGTTTGGAGACACGTCTCCCACCAGGCGAGCTATTTGTGCATTCTTCCGTTGCAAACAATATTCAATGCAATCACTGTTATTTTTTATTTATTTTATAATTGCAGGGTTTGACAGTTTAATACTATTTTTATTCTAGTGTGACTGAGCTATGAGCTAAGGGACCAAACGTAGCACAAGAGTAATCTGCTGGTTGCGCCAAATGTTTTTGGCACTGATGATGCAGCCAGTCAGAGTCCTTGTTTAACTTCAGGGCTGTTGGTGGTGCTACACCTACAACACAAACAGTCACTAACTCCGAGGCAGATATGGACCACTTTGTTGGGAGCATTGTGAGCTTGTAAGAGGCAAGAAAGACCCTGAAACACTGAGACCGCTGTGTGAACAAGGGCTAATTAATCAAGCTTTGTCAACCATAGTAAAAACATTAAAAACCAAAAGTGAGAAAATGGGACTTAAAATCAGTTTTACAGCCTAAATCCTTGGTAGCTCAGATTTGAACATTGGGTAAGAATTCAGAGTTGTCGTTGTTACTTATTAACCTCACAAACATTTGGCTCTTGCTTGCAGTGGTGCCCCCCGTGTCGAGCTTTACTGCCGGAACTGAGAAAAGCTTCAATCCAGCTAGCTGGGCAGATGAAGTTTGGCACTTTGGACTGTACCATCCATCACAACCTCTGTTCTAGAGTAAGCACACACATCCGTGTATATTGTTGATTTTTAAGCTTAAGGCTAAAATGTGCCGACCAATTAGTAATTTACTTTTCTCTTTTTTCAGTATAATATTCAGGCTTATCCCACCACAGTGATCTTTAATGGTTCTTCTGTGCATGAATATGAAGGCCATCATTCAGCTGATGGCATCCTGGAGTTTATACAGGTACTACATCAAATACAACTGAAATGGCTCCTCTTTGCCTGGATTTTTGTCATCTGTACACCGTTTGGTCAAAATGTACCTTTAAGAAATTTACAGCTCCAGCTGTAATGAGTAATCTTTTTCAAATGAATCAGTAATCTAATCAAGTAATCGGATAAGAAATACTTGAGTTTCATTTATGAGCAATAATAAAAACTCAAAAAAGATTACAGGTCTTTCAGAATGAACTGCTCATTGGTTTCCATTTTGGAAATTGCAATATTTTAAAGTTTCACTGCATGTAAAAGAAGAAACCCAGCTAAACCCTTTAGCTGTATTTGCATACCATATTAATTTCATTTTTTTTAAAGAAAACGCTTTCTTAAATGCAAATATATATATATTAAACACATTTTTATTGGCTTGTGAAAAAAAGCTTTTATTTTTATATATTTAAATATTAGTGCAATTTAATTAATACAATATTTTATATTATTTCACTTTAATCTGAAATGTTTTATGAAAGCACTTGACGTTTATATGGTTTTTTACACCCCATGTCCCCCTTTAGACTGATCCCTGTTTACTGCAGGTATTGCTTCCATCTAAAATAGGACGGCTGCTGTCAGCCTTCAGAGAGCTGAACACGGGTTCGGACGAAGTTAACGGTTCATCTGAACATTTTAATACAACTTCTGGAGATTTACTGCAGATTTTTCTGTGTAAAACAAACGGCGGTGGACGGAGCAGCTACAAACTTTGCTTTTCTTTACGTCAGAGTTTGATGATCGGGTGTTTTGATGAAGGACTCCCGCTTGCTTTCCCCCACTAAAGATTAATGCCTTTTACCATTGGTGATCACAGGAACAGCCCTGCTGTTTACGTCACTAGAAACCTTTTTCTTTCATTCTACCTGAGCTCAGTGTCTCGGTAACGGCTCCGTCTCTTTGCTCTTTGTGGTGTGTAAACAGACTCCGGGTCCACGTTAAACTGCCAGCATCATCATTGCTGCTGTTGTGTTATCAGTGTTTTTGTTTAAAACTGAGGCATGCATGGGCTGAATGTTGTCTGACTTTTTATTCACACGCTGCTCCTAAACACATTTATTCTGAAGGTTTGTTTTAGTCACACCTGTGTTAAGCGCTCATGTTTACATCGTTTAACACATCAGTGCAATACAGAGCCGTGCATTAACCAAAGCATCGAAGCAAAGTTTGTGTTGAGAATTTTTTTATGATCAATTTTTTTTTATTACTCAGTGAATCATTGCAGCTAAAGGGCTCATCACCACTGTCAATATTATTACAAAATAACATTTGATGCATAGTATAATTTTTTTTCATTGCTCTTTTCCTTTGGTTGCCTTTGGTCTCAAAGTGGAGTATTTAAAAGACAGTGAGATCACAAAGGGCTTCTTTCTATCTCTGCAGGACCTGGTTAATCCATCTGTCCTGATTTTGGATCCTTCAAGCTTCACAGAGAAAATTAAAGGTAAAACCTGCTCCTGATGGATTGCATTTATATAGCGCTTTTCAAGACCTTCAAAGTGCTTTACAATTCCACTATTCATTCACTCTCACATTCACACACTGGTGGAGGCAAACCACTGGGGCAGGCTGACAGAAGCAAGACTGCCATGTCGCACCATCGGCCCCTCTGGCCATCACCAGTAGGCGGTAGGTGAAGTGGCTTGCCCAAGGACACAACGACCAAGACAGACAGAGTTGGGGATTGAACCGGCAGCCTTCCGGTTACAAGATGAGCTTCCTAACCCCCTGAACCACGGCCGTGACAATAAACTGCTTCTTGCACAAAGGGCTAGTTGCAAAGACTTTGAACAGCACTGTTGTAAAAGAACTTGACAGCTGCAATTGCTGTTTTATGAAAACTACCCATTCCCATCTTTCAGTTTAAAGCACCATAGAGGCTAACACAGTGGTCTGTTTCTCTGCTGCAGGTCGAGATGAAGGACAGATCTGGGCAGTAGATTTCTACGCTCCCTGGTGTGGTCCCTGTCAGGCTCTGATGCCTGAATGGAGACGCATGGCCCGGGTATAACTCACTTTACATGTGCCATATATAGGCCATAGACACAAACTGAAAGAACACAAGAAGGAGAGCTGTATAAACTTTAAAGGTCATCTAGCTGCTTCACTCTACTGTCACCTGATCAGTAAACTTCAGTAACCCTGAGCCACTGGAAGCTCGAGCCATGACATGGCCTCCAGCCTGTTCTGCTGTTGTATGCTTTAGATGAACCTTAGTAGACACTTTTTGTATTTTGTTTTCAGAATGTACAAAGGTCTCAATTTGCCATTCATAATTTTCCTGCTCTCTCTTTGATAGATTTGTTTCTGCAGCATGACCTGTCCTTGACAGTTAATGGCATATTTCTAAAAACTGAGCTGAGATTCTTTCCTTTAAACCCATATTTATTGTATAACATAAGCTTGAATGCGATTTATTAAACAGTTAAAATAGCCAAATTGTGCCCTGGTCCAAAAATATATGAACCTTAAAGGAAAGAAATTCAGCTTAGATGTCAGTTTTAAAATTAATACCTATGACTGAATCTGCACAACTCCACAAAACAGTGAATTTGTGAAGAAAACCAGGAACATTGGGATTTTGTTTATGAACCTAAAGCAAGTGACAGAAATCAGCAGATGAAAACAGAGGGTCAGGACTCAGCTATCAGAAGGAGAGAGCAGCCTCTAACCTGACGCCGTCTTGGTTTCCATCCAGCTGCTTTCAGGTCAGATCCTGGTCGGTTCGGTCGACTGTCAGCGCTTTCAGTCGTTCTGTCAGAGCCAGAGTGTGAGAGCATACCCAGAAATCCGCCTGTACCCTGGAAACAGCCGGCAGCCAGATCGCTATACGTATGTAACTCACTTTACATGCTCAGATGTCGGGAAATGAATATTCCCAGGAGACGAGAATATGGATATGAGTTTCATCACAACATCTCAGATGATCAGAATTATTTGTTTTACCTTCTTACATCTTCTTTTTACTTAGATTATTGATTACTGATTTCCTTTTCGCCTGCCTATCTCTGTAGGAGTTATAATGGTTGGCACAGAGATGCCCATTCACTGAGAACATGGGCACTGAGGTGAGATGCAAGTTGCCTTTTCTTGTCTTTCTGTATTTCTTTAGGGTTTTTCTTTCTTTCTGCAGTAAAAGAACCAGTGAAATGGGACGTGTACAGTGTTAATAGTTGAGTTATTCTCTTGTGTGTACAGTTTTTTACCCAGAGCCTCTGTGGACCTTACTCCAGAGACCTTCAGATCTCTGGTTCTGTCAGGTCGGGATCACTGGATCCTGGACTTTTATGCCCCCTGGTGCGGACCCTGTCAACACTTTGCCCCGGAGTTTGAGGTCCTAGCTCGGGTGTGAAAACTTTGCTTCTCTGCATGAATCTTGTTGCTTTTTTTCTGCAGTGACTGATGAGACAAACCGAAAGTAAACTTCTCCAACAGACTGTGGGACGAAGCACAAATTAAGAGTTTCTTAAAAACATGGTTTTCTTGTAGTCAAGAGTCCTGCAGTCATGCTTTTTGTGTATGTGTGATTGACAGATGCTTAAAGGCGAGGTCCGGGCAGGGAAGGTTGACTGTCAGGCTCATTATCAGACCTGTCAGTTAGCTGGAATCACCGCCTACCCAACTGTCAGATTTTACCCATACCTGGGAAAAAAGAGGGTAAGCACACACACGCGCACACACACACACAACACACACCACACACACACACACCAACACACACACACACACACACACACACACACACACACACACACACCACTAGCACCTTCAAGTAAGAATGTTCTAGGATTAGACTTCATGGCTGTAGCCTCTTTTTATTTTGTAAAAGTTGTGTTGCTTGCCATTTTTTACTCCATGCCTCAGTTTTTTATGTTTGTTTTTATTTTGTTTTGGTGAATCTGTCTTCTCCCAAATATTTTTGTTAATTAGGAATCAACTCCTGATTTTTCCCCATTCTAACATTTGTTTCCATCAAATACCATTTAAAAAAGTAAAAGCAGGGTTTATAATCTAATGTTTTATATTCATCACCAAAAAAAGAGCTCAGTTTACTTTTATAAAACAAAAGAAAAGCAAAAAGCACAGCCTTCATCATCAGATTTGATGGGAAAGAATCAGTTATGGATTGACTTAATAGTGGAAAAGATTATAATGTGTGTATATGTGTGTGTTCTGACAGCATGAACAGAGTGGGGAGCATATCAATAGCCGAGACGCTAACGTGATCGCTGACACCGTCAGACAGCGGCTACAACAGCTGTTGCCACGGTTACACAATAAGCCAAAGGTAAGTGCCGGTTAACTTCAAGCACAAATCAACCCAGCCGCTGAACTGGAGTCTGACACGTTTGTATGTTGTAGGATGAGCTGTGATGGAAGCGGGCGGTACTGTGAGGAAGATGAGCCACCTGATTGGTCAGGTAGAGACAGAAGTGAATTTGATTGGCCCAGCAAGATGATCAATCGGTCAACACTCCTTTATAGAAGCTACAGCTGGAACACTGGGACCGACTGTTACCTGCTGTGCTGAATGTACTGAACACTTCTGCCTTGTTTATGTTTGGTTTATAATTGTCTCCATTGTTTCTATTTACTCTATGAAGTAAAACTTTGGGACACTGTGTATTGATCATGTTACTGACACATACACACACACTCACCGATCCAAATGTTGACATAGTGTTGTATTTTATTGCTCATGTAAAAACTGTTTGAGAATAAAACGGTTCGTTTCTGTTAGATGTGTGTGCATCCCTGTGAGTTTTACAACCATCCCTGCAGGTTAAATTCAAAGTATACAAAGATGTTGACAAGATTCAGAAAAAAGAAATAATCACAAAGTATTAACTCTTTCAATTACTTTGTTTTTTTCTCAAGCAAAAGTGCCAAGCATTTCAATCTCATGGTTTCTCAACACTGTTGCTTTTCTGTGTGTCAAACTGAGTTTTTGGGGATTGGATAGGGGTGCATCCAGAGGGACATGAGGTGGCAATAGCCCCGCTGAAAACATGATCGTCCACCTCAATGCTCTGTATGGACCCCAGAACGTAAACACACAGCTGTAGATGTTTTCTTAGTTATTCACACTTTGACCAGCAGGTGTCACTGTTCACTCACTGTTCACTCACTGTTCACTCACTGTGTCATCTGGCTGAAAACTAGGAGACAGGAGCTTAAGAAAAGTTGGATTGACAAGATAAATACGTGCAGACAGGGTTTATAAAGTCTCTGAAAAGAGCTCAGAATATATCAAGGATTGGGTGCCCGCTGAAATCCTCAGTAAAAAAAAAAAGGTTTATACTGTTAATGCGTTAAAGTTAATTAGATCATTAATTACTTGTTATATGTAATATGTATTCCCACAGAAAAAACAAACAAATAAAACTGATGCATTTATCTTATGCTCTTGGAAATTTTACACAAATAAAAAACAAAACAAAAGCAACAAACTGTATTGAAATAATTTGGAGCTTTTTAATGGTTTGTAATGGCTGTGTATCTTAAGAAGGGCAGCAGGTGTCACTGTTGCTTCTCTGTGCAGTGACTTCCCCAGAAAAGAGTTGATCAGGAAACAGAACCTGTGCACTGATTCAACTTTTGGAACACGGGCTTATCCACAACGGACCTGAGTCACATTACATTACCATGAGAACATTACATTGTGTCACGGTTCTGTATTATGTGGTCTGAAGAAAACTCATAGATTTCTACAAGGCGTTCGACTCCTTAGAGCATGAGTTTATTTTTACTGCTTTAAATAAATTTGGGTTTGGTCAGTCCTTCTGTAAT